GATTATGTTTATCATTTATCAACCTTGCTTGCATGCTGGGCACACATTGTGCAAGGCCAGTGAGCTCTGCCACGCTCACTGCTGGGTCCCCGGGGCCCAGGCGAGTGCCCGGCACACAGCAGGTGCTCAGTCAGCATCGGAGGAAGGAACAAAGCAGAGGTGCGCTCTAGGCTCCGCCCCCGCCTGGCCGATCCGTGGCCAAGCACGACTGTTTCCCCCTCTTCAAGAGATGTTCTTTTTTTCCTGTCCTTTCCCTCACCTCGGTCTTCTCTCCAGTCTACTATGGTCCTCCCTTCCCTTTCTCCACTTTTTCCTCTCCCTCAGCAGAGAGCTCGATTAGTCACTCATTCCCTGGGGCTCCGAGGCAAGTGGCTTCGGCTGAGCCAGAGAACCAGCTCTGCCTCTTTTTAATCAAGGCATTTCTTCCCATGCAATCTGGTTAGTGCTCCTGAGGATACTGCTGGGTCTTCCTGGGCCGGGCGGGGCAGACAGCATGTGGCTGCCTGCACACAGGGACAATTCTATCTCACGCTGGCACCCTGCTGGGTGCGTAGTCAGGACTCATTTCAAGCTCATGACTACCCCCGGGAGGTGGGCTCAGTTGAGATCATCGCTATTGCATAGGTTAGGGGCCCAGGGCGCAGAGAGGGTAAACAACTTGCCCGAGGCCACCCAGCTCTGCAGCTGCGCGGTAGATGTGGAGTTTTAACCACTGGGCTCTGGTAGCTGTTGTTCATCAATATACATATTGATTAAGGAGCGACCCTGTCCCAGGCACTGTTCTCAGATCTGGAGACATCGTCGTGGGTGGAATAGACAAATCCTGCCCTTCCGGAGTCTGCGTTCTGTAGTGTGTTGGAGGGATGAGTGCAGAAAAAGCCAAACAGGGCAGGGAGAGAGGGAGTCTTGTGGGGTGTGCTTCGTAACTTAAAGAGAGAGGCTGGGAAGGGGGAGGCTGAGCTCCGTGGGGGTTTGAAAGAAGAGCAATGCAGTAAAGGGACCGTAAGTGCAAAGGCCCTGAGGGGCCTCTGGGTGGCTCAGTCGGTTAAGCAGCCGGCATCCGGCTTCAGCTCAGGTCATGATCTCAGGGTCCATGGGTTCAAGCTCCGCGTCGGGCTCTGTGCTGACAGCTCAGAGCCTGGAGCCTGTTTCAGATTCTGTGTCTCCCTCTCTCTCTGACCATCCCCAGCTCGTGCTCGCTCTCTCTCTCTCTCCCTGTCTCAAAAATAAATAAGCGTTAAAAAAAAAAAAAGGCCCTGAGCCAGGAGCAAGCTGGCAGGTTTGAGGAACACTTGCGAGGTACAGTGCGTGGGCCAAGAAGGAGGGGCGGGCAAACAAGAGGTCAGGGAGATGACGGTGATCTTGCGCGCTGTCGTGAGGACTTTGGCTTTTAATCTGAGTGAGGTGGGGGCCGTGGGAAATGTTTAATTGTTTAAAAAACTTTCTTTTTAATGCTTATTTAATCTTGAGAGAGAGAGAGAGAGAGAGAACATGAGCAGGGGAGGGGCAGAAAGAGAGGGAGACACAGAATCGGACGCAGGCTCCAGGCTTTGAGCTGTCAGCACAGAGCCCAGCGGGGGGCTCGAACCCACGAACCATGAGATCATGTCCTGAGCAGAAGCCTCCAGCCACTTAATGGACTGAGCCCCCCAGGCGCCCCCGTGTTCGATTGTTTTAATGACAGCTCCTTTGACAGGTAGCTCACACGGCATCAGCACTTTTTCCCTTTTCATGCCGAATAAGGTTCCCTTGTGTGATAGCCCACCTTTCATCGAGCTGTGTGTCAGCTGAGGGACACGGGGGCCGCCTGCACCTCGGGGTCATTGTGAAGGTGCCGGAACGGCCATTGGGGCATGAGTGTTTGTGTGGACGTGGCCTCATTTCTCTTGTGTGTGTCCCAGACTGGAGCAGCCAGGCCTTAAGGTAAGTCTGTGTTAGGCCTTTCGAGGAAATGGTTTTCCCCAGGGGGCCGCACCGTTTTATAATCCCCCCCCCTGCAGTGTCTGCGGCCACCAGTGTCCCCACACCTCTGCTCACATTCACTTTCCGTCTCTTGGTCACGGGAGACTTTCGAGCTGAGCACGCACGTCCTCGGACTCGGGTTTTATGGGATCCCTCCGGCATCCACGTGGAAAAGATCTTTCTCCCTCTCATCTTTCTTTCTTCTGCGTGTTGCTGTCTCTCCTCATCCTGGCAAGGCCTGTCTGTCAAGCGCGATGAGGCCTTTCCTCCAGCTTCGTAGGTCCCCACCCCCCGCCCCCCCATCGGAAGCAACTCCTCTTGGTGAGATCAGTGGTCATGTGTCCCAGATAGCCTTTCATCTCCATCTGCCTCTGGTCAGGTGACAGCCAGCAGTGACGCGAGGTCACTCCCGCCATGTCCTTGGGCCTTTCTTGGGTAAGCATCACGCACATTTGGACCTTGAGGAGTTCATAATAAACGCAAGTTCGATCGGGTGAGATGGTCAAGGCGAATGAGCCTCTTTGAGGGAGGAGGGGTGTCAAGGAAGTGGGTGGGGGCGCCCGGCCAAGGCAGACCCCAGGTTTTAGTTCATTGGTTCATTCCCAAGAACCACAAAGTCAATAGAAATAAGACAATCTCCGTAGCTGAAGGCTGTTGAAGGCCTTCGGGAATTCAACGAAATATATTAATTCCTCCATGAGTGACTTGATTGATTAATGCCTTAGGGAGCGAGTTGATTGCTTCAAGTCTTTAGTGTCCATGAAGTATGTGTGGGACATTGTCCCAGTGCTGGGGGTATGTCCGTTAGCAGAAACAGACTGGCTTCTGGCTCTAGAGCTGGGGTGGGGGGGGGACAAAGTAAATGGATCATTTCAGATAACATGGGGTGATCTGGGAGAGTGACTGGTGGGTTGGTATTCCCAGTTTGGAAATTAAAGCGAAGGCCTCTTTGAGGAGTGGACTTCGACCTGAAGCCTAGAGGAGGAGTGAGTCCCAGAGGATCTGAGGGAAGAGTGTTCTAGACCTGACGTACAGCAGATGCTAAGGCCCTGTGGCAGGAGAAAGCTGGGGCCGTTCAAGGAACAGAAAGAAAGGCTGGGAGTAGAGTGAACCTGGGGAGAGGCTGTGAGACGGGGTTGGAGGGGGCAGAACAGGGGGCAGAACAGGGCTGCGCAGGCCGCGGGACAACACAGGGCAACACAGCTCCCCCTGGGAGCTGGCGTACGCACTGCCACAATTTTCCAACTTATTTAATCCTCACAACAGCCCCTGGAGAGAGGCTCTTATCCCCGTATGACAAATGAGGAAACTGAGGTGCAGAGAGGGTCAAGCCACTCGTCCCAGGACTCTGTCGTGGGGATCCCCGGAGCATGGCTTTCCCCGGGCTTGCTCCTACCTGGCAACACAGCCTTGCGTCGGCACCCCCACCCCACCCCCCCCCCCACGCACACCCTGGGCCAGGGCAGGTCTCCAGGCAAGGCTCTCAGGCCAGCATGCAGCGGGTGCCCAAAAAATATGGACTCAGGCCAGGCCGTGCTGCTTAAGGGTGGGCCTGGCTTAAGCAGCTTCCCTCCAGGGTCCAAGGAGAGTTTCGCAAGGCCTCTTTCTGAGCCCCCAGGGGCTGGCCTGTGCGAGCTGGCTGTGGAGGACTCGGCCCCCCAGCCCCTGTCACAACCCCCCCTCCCAGCCCGTGTCACACACACACACACACACACACACACACACACACACACACACACCCTCTGCCTCCCAGCAGCTCAGCCTGGAGAATGAGGGGCTTGGCCTGCACCAGGGCTCCGGAAGTCAGGGAGAGGCGGTGGTTGGGGGCTGCAGGTACTGGGAGGCAGGCCCGGGGCGGGGGCGGGTGGGAGCTGCGGCGACTGCCCGGGAGGCCACCGCCACCTGTTTTATTTTCTTGGAGAACTTGTCACCACCTGCAATTACCCATCGTTCACTCGCTCACTCGCTCAGTAACCGCCCCCCCTTCAGGACGGAGACCCAGATCTGCCGACTTCACCTGTCCGGGCGCATGTCCCTACCTGTGACCCCGAGCCCTGCGCGCCAGGCACGGAGCACAGGACCCGGCATCTAAAAGGCTCTGCATCTGTTCGTTCTAAAGGGTGCCGGGCGGCGTTCCGGCTGCTCCGGCCGGGACAGCACCGGGCATCCACCCCGCAGCATCCTAGTTGCCGCAGGGAGTGGGGTGCGTGGGGGGGGGGTCAGAATGCAGAGAACAAATGAACGTGTAACATGCCAGGTGGCGCCCAGCGATAAGGGTGGGGGGCAGGCTGGGAGGCCGGCGCTATTTTATTTTACACAAGGTGGCGGGAAAGGCCTTTCTGATAAGGTGGCAGGCCAGTCGTGAAGGAAGGAGCGGGCAGATATCTGGGGGCACAGGATGCCAAGCGAGGAGGGGGTGGGGGTGCCAGGCACTGAGGCGGGAGTCTGCAGGTTCCAGGGAGAGCGAGGCTAGGGGACCTGGGGGACGGGCCGGGGGCTCGGGGACAGAGGTCGGGGTGGGGGTGGGTGCTGGTGATTCTGGTGAGTTGGGAAACTCCTACTCAATGTGACCAAAGACATGGGCGTGACAGAGGAAGTGGGAGAGGGGGACGAGCAGGGGCGAAGGGTGGGGGAAGGAGCGGCAGGGTCAGGGGGCGGGGAGGGGGAGCCCGCGGAGGAGAAGGAGCAGGTCAAGGGAGGAGGAGGAGCAGGTCAGGGGAGTAGGGGGAGCAGGGAAAGGGAGGTGCGGGGAGGAGAGGGGAAGGGAAGGGAGCGGGGGAGCCAAGCCCCACCCGCACCCCTGCACGCGGGCAGCCTGGCTCTCCCGCCGCCACCCGCGGAAACGGAAGCGAGGGCGTGGGGCGCGAGACTCCCTCCCCGCGGGGCGTGTCCGCCCGGACCGTCCGATCCGCGCCCCGCCCCCGCCCCGCCCCCGCCCCGCCCCCTGGCCGCGCAGGCCCCGCCCCCCGCCCCCGCCCGGGCGCGCCCGCCCGAATCCCGGTGCCCAGGGGCGTCCCGGGGGCGGTCCGGCCGCGCCGGCGATGGCTCATAAAACCGCCGGCCACCTGCCGGGCCGCTCCTCCGTGCGCCGCGCTCCGGGTCCCGCCGTGCCGCTGCGGGCCGCGTCCCCGGGTCGGCGCCTCGGTCGCCTCTTTCCCGGTCCCCCCCCAGGCTCGGAGCAGCGCGCGCAGACATGGGCAGCCGCGCCAGAGCTCGCCGCGCGGCCGCGATCCTGGGCTTCCTCGGGCTGCTGTGCGCCGTGCTGGGCGCCGTCATGATCGTGATGGTGCCCACGCTCATCAAGCAGCAGGTCCTCAAGGTGGGTGAGGGGCGCCGGCGGGGTCGGGGGCAGGAGGGCGCGCAGCCGGGGGCGGGGGGCGGGTGGTGCCGGCGAGCTACGGCCGCGCTCGGCGCCCTGGATCCGGGCCCCCGGAGCACGGCGGAGTCCAGAGCACATCGCCAGGGGCGGCTGGCCCCCTCCCCAGCACCCTCCCCGACCCAGGCCGAGGCTGAGGGCAAAGGAGGTTTCCAGGGACCTTTCCTGGGGGCGCAGGCCGGGGGCAGGGAGGCCAGAATGAGAGACCAGCCGGAGCCAGACCTTACCCTAAGGGGTCTGGGGCCCGGGACGGGCCTGGAGTCTGGTCGGGTTATGGTGCTACCCTCTGGGACCCAGAGCAGCCTGAGCCCGTGTCTACTAAAATTAGGACTGCACGTTGCTTGTTTCCTGTGAGCCGAGGAGGACAGGAACCCTCCATTAATGCGGTTCTGTGAGCCCCACATGGGCGCCCTGGCCTCACATTAGGGTGCTCAGTATCTCCCCATCGAATAGGCCTTCGCAGGGGCCCGGTGCTCACCCCCAGCACTGCCTTCCCGATGCAGATTAGAAATGGTGAGCCGCTTTCTCCCCAGATTCGCACTGAGGCAGGCACCAGCCCAAGGCTGCAGGAGCGGAGGGCTTTCCTCTGGTCTTAACCTTAGGCACCAGTGCCCTTTCAACCATGGAGACAAATTAGCTGGCCTCAGACCATCAGACTCTGCCCTGGGTCTGGACAGCCTGTTTGAATGAACCGGAGTTAAGGAAGGCCAGGGACACTGGAGGGAATCACAGCTGAGCTCAAAGCGTTTCAGCGCTTTGAAGCCAGAGACAGCACCGGCAGTGCGGGGAGGGAAACGGAGGCTTGCTTCGCCCAGCCACTGAGCGGGGATAAAGATGTGGATAATGTCACCTGCTCGTTGACTTCCCTTTTCCCCTTAGCCTGCTTCTTTGCGAGGGTTTCTGAAGAATGAGACTTGTCCTTGGGGCGCCTGGCTGGCTCAGTTGGTTAAAAGTCCGACTTCGGCTCAGGTCACGCATGATCTCACGGTTCATGAGTTCCAGCCCCACATCGGGCTCTGTGCTGACAGCTTAGCTCCGAGCCTGGAGCCCGCTTCGCAGTCTGTGTCTCCCTTTCTCTCTGGCCCTACCCCGCTCACGCTCTGTCTGTCCGTCTGTCTCTCTCTCAAAAATAAATAACATCAAAAAAAAAAAAAAAGAATGAGACTTGTCCACATTTCATGTATGTGCCCCATGCCCAGTACAGGATGCCTGGGAATGAATGAATCTGTGGATAAATGAAGGCTACAGTCTGCTTACACCTGGCTGCCCCTTCTTGGGACCTGGCCATCTTTAAACATGGCGCAACCTTTGGCTTTGATCAAGGTCGCTGGGGGAGTGGTTGTCTGAGTTATATTGGCCACACTGTATTTTTGGTTGTTTTTTTTTCTTGTTTCTTTTAGTTTTCAGATCTTGTCCCATTAAGTCCTGTAGTCTGATTCCAAGGAGATCGTGGCTGACCGTGACAGTGAACACTGAGTTCCTCTTTGTGTTTTTTGGCCTCTGGGCATGGCAGGAAAAGCTCACCTCAGAGCTTTAGAAGTGCTTTGTTCTCTCCCACAGTGGCCAAGGGGTTACACTTTTCCGAGTCGCTGCGAGAGCTTTATCTCAGTGCAAGCCTTCCGTCAACGCCCCCTGATCTTCAGGTTTCTGTGCGGCGTGCGTCCGGGGACACTGTCACCCGGGTGGTGTGCGCCTGCAGAGCCGTTGTGACCCTGTGGGAAGAGCCTCTGGCTTTGGGAGCGTGATGGTGGGTGGGGCTTATAGCTGATGAAGAATCTCGTCGGCCCGTCGTTCTTGGACTTCACTTTGGGGCGATTTCTTTCTGTGGATGTTGGTCAGACTCAGGAGGTCCATTCCGAGTGTGTCGGCTCACACGCGTGCACCTGCTAGGGTTCTACCTCTAGGGTTCCGAAGCGGAGAGTGACATCGCCCTCCGTTGTTCTGGAGCTAGAATTTCCGGCCCTAAAGTTGAGCGAGAGCCACCCGGCATCCTATGTGACTATCCCAAAGGCTATTGGTTTGGGGCCGAGTGGCGTGAAGGCAGGAAGGCAGAGCCCGGCCCGCAGCAGCCACTTCTTGGGCAGAGCCCTGGCCAAGTGCCTCCCCCTGGAAGAAGATGGTCTGTGTTCAGGGGACTGCGTGGGCGGGACACTGCGAGAGGGAGGAGCTGCCCGCCGGTGTTTTCTTTGGCTGCACCAGGTACGGACAGCCTGAATGGCGGGCCTTGTGCTTTTGATTTCTATTTTTCTATGCTTTTTGATTCACTGAAGAAATCCACATAGAAAACATGAGTTCTTGCTTGCAAAAGAAAAAAAATTCAAATGGAGGAAAAAAATTCCCTCCACTCTATTCCCTTAGGTATAACACCACCTTTAGCAGGCGTGTGTCTTTCTAGACTTTCATTGGTTTGCGCATCCTGAGCTCATGAGCGCGCATTTGTATGCATTCCTATATACTTGTTACATATACTGAGCCATGCTACATATACATTTCCGAGGTTTGCTTTTCAATTCATGCATACTTCTTGGAAAATGTCTCCATATCCAAACAGATGGATCTGTCGTGTTTTTGGTTTTGTTTTTTTCCACCTCCGCCTCCGTTTGCCTTTGAATGGCTACGCACTTCATTATTTCAGTTTCTCGACTGACAGCTGTTTCTCTGTCACAAAGTAACCAAACACTGAATGTCTGGGTACATACCTCTCTGCTCCACAGGGCGGGTTTTCAGGATAGAAGCCTCTAGACCTCAGAGTCTGTTCAGTTTGAATTTTGACAGTTCCCATCAACTTGCCTTTCTGAACAGCTCTAGCATTCGTACCTCCGCCGAAAGTATGGAACGTCCCCCCCATCTGGGCCGATTTATTGTGATCATTTTTTGTTGTTAATCTGATGGGTTTGCTTTTCATTTCTCAGGTTGCCGATGGGTTGAGTTAGGGATGTGATGCATTTTGAAACCTGTGTCAGTTTCCGGAGCCTGGGGTTGTAGACCTGGGCTCTGCCATTTGCTGGTCGGGGACCTCGCGTGTTACTTCACCTCTGAGTCAGGGCCCCTTTCTTTAGCTCTGAGGCAGGTCAGGGGCAATTTGCCTCCTGGCGCGATCATAAAGCACACTACACGTGTGTGGAAATACCCTGGATGTGCCTAGTTTCTTATTTGAATCTGACCACAGCCTTGAGGAACAGGCTGAGACAGTGCTCGTGTTCCTACAGATAAGGAAACTGAGGCAGAGCAAAGGTCGGCAGCTTGCCGGGGTTTACACGGCTTGTGGCCATGGTGGGCCAGAATCCCAGGCCCGACGTGGGGTCTCCAATTCGGGAGGGGCATAGGAAATTGAGGGGATCTGGCTGTGGCCGAGGGAAACTTATACTTTATCTGTAACGCGTCTCCTTTTCTTTTTTTTTTTTTTAAACAAAGAGAATATTCACATATCATGTGTTTAATTAAAAATCAGTAAGGAACCCACAACTTTCCCCAAAGAATGGCCAAGTGAATTAGACACTTGGCGGACGAGCCCCGTGGATCGGGGTTGCGGGGGAAGGTCCAGGGAAGGAAGCGAGGCGCGTCCCTTCTTCCCCGCAGCAGGCAGGCGTGGACAAGAGGCGTTTGCGCAGCGTGGGAAGGAGGGCGACTGTGAACTACCGAGGCAGCGTTCGGCCCGTCTTTGTGAATGTCCTCTTGCTTGGTCCCGGGAGGATTCTACGACACTTTTTTTTTTTTTAATTTTTTTAATGTTTTATTTATTTCTAGGAGAGAGAGAGAGAGACAGCATGAGCAGGAGAGGGTCAGAGAGAGAGGGAGTCACAGACTGAAATAGGCTCCAGGCTCCGAGCTGGCAGTCAGCACAGAGCCCGACGCGGGGCTCGAACCCACGAACCGCAAGATCGTGACCCAAGCGAAAGTCGGACGCTTAACCGACTAAGCCACCCAGGCGTCCCATCTGCGACACTTTGCGTTACCATCATCAACGGTCAGGGTAACAAGCTTCAGAGAGTGATTGGCCCAGTTGACCTTGCCTGGTGTGTGTGTGTGTGTGTGTGTGTGTGTGTGAGAGAGAGAGAGAGAGAGAGAGAGAGAGAGAATGTCCTGGAAGAAAACGGCAGGCGAATGGGGACTCTTGTATTCACTGCCTAGAACTGAGCCTGGCACGTGAGGTCCTCCAAGTTTGAATGGGTGACGAATGCACGGTCAAGGTCGCCGAGGATACATTTCCAAGTTACCGGGTGTCTCTCGTCCAACAGGGAAGGCCCAGTGGCGGGACGGGCTCGTCTGCTGGGCCAGCATGTGGTTGGTGGATCTTTTAGCTTCTTCACATCCAGGAGGGGAGCTGAGTCCCCTCCGCTCTCTTTAAGTTGGTTTTCTGGTTGGAATCCGTCTCCGGTGCTTCATCCACGAATTTTTCCAGCTGCGGCTGACGACTTCCCTCTCTTATTTCCAGCTCAGTCAGTGACCCCTCCATTTGCTTCCCCAAGTGCAGGGGTGAAAATCTTGGCTCAAGCCTGACATGGTCTATCAGCAGATCCTATTGGCTTTATCTTCAAACCATATCTGCATTTCAGCTCCTCAGCGTCACCGCTACAGCCCTCTCCACCCAGCGCGTGGACTGTGCAGTGGTCTGTCTCTGGGCTCCACGGACAGAGGAATCCTGAGGAAACACTCATCTGATCACATGTCCCCTCGCTGGCAACCCCGCGCGGCTCCCTCTGTTACTATGAATGAAGACGGAGCCCCTCTCGGTGGCCTGAAGGCCCCCGTGATACGCCCTCCTCCCCCTCTCACCTCCCCCGCTCTTGGCCCCGCGGCTCACCTGCCGTGCTCATCTCCTAGATGTCCTTGAGCCTGCGAAGCCTGGTCCCGCTGCAGAGTCTCTGGCTTGCATTCCCCTCTGTCCGGAAGGCTCGCTCTCAGATCATCTGTGTAGTGTTAACCCTCCCGTCCCTGAATGG